AGAAGAGAGGAGGAAACCTTTTGTCTTCTACCTATGGTCTCTCCATAAGCCTGCTTCCACCCTTTATTCCATAAAAACTAGTCAGGACTTACAAGTAGGGGTGTAAGGCTTCATTGTGTAAATCCCTTAACCTTAGTCATTCACTGTTCCTGGTGCATGGTAATCCCTCAACTATTTCTTGAAGAAAGGACAGGAGAAAGGTATATTTCCAGATGTATGTATATTTTGTTTGGAAATGTATATGCTAACCCTAGATGGGGCCCAACAGTAGCCATACCCACACAATTATTTCTATAGAGGGGAGATACTTAGGGCCATGTCAAGATTTTATTTGTATTCTTTTAATGTTTCAGAGCTGATAAGGATGTAAGCAATCTAGTCTAACCTCCTCATTATTCAGAGGAAGAAGTGGGAGCTGAGTGTGAATTATTCAGTTTGTAAGTGATGTCAGGACTCAAATCCCCACAGCTCCTGACCTGAATCTCTGCCAGGGATAATTTGTTTTTAATAGTTGTCTTTAGTTGGTAACAGTGTACTCAGAACAAGCAGTGAGTGTGCATATCCAATGATGAATGCAGCCTTCTTTATCACTTGACTTTTCATTCTTACCCAAACCCTACAGGAAATACTTTGCAACGTTTGAACAGTAATTTTTCATACACAATAATCTGGTTGTTGGTAAAATGTCTGATAACTTACATAATGTGTTCAGTTGTCTTCAAAGTTTTTCCTCACTATCCTCCCTATCTAGCATCACTAAGCTGATGGCCCCATATTTCTCTGGCAGAACCAGAAGTACTGAACTTGAAGTTACCTATCTTTCTCTAGCTTAAAAAGAAGATTTAAAGCTGGAAGTAAAGTGTTGGAAAATAGCATGGCATTATTCTGAAGTAGCAACAACTAAGTACCAAAGAGAGAGAATTTCTATTCTTTAGAAGAAAAGGAGACCAGGTTGGGTTGGAAGCTAATGGATGGGGGCAGGGAAGCTAATAGTAGTAGTATTTATAGTAGAGGCAGTAGTGATAGTAGTTAGTAACCGTGGTAACAATATAGCACTAATTCAAAGAGCATAGTCTCCAAATCCTTGTATGCCAGTGTGATTCTTAGATTATCAGCCTATCTAACAATAGACAAACATGGTAATTGACCGTACCTTCGCTACGCCTCCCATGGGCTAATCAGCGAGATGTGCAAATTAACCGCCAATAAAGATGGCAGTTAATTTGCGTACGTAGGCGCGAAGCGGAGGAGCGAAGACTGAAGGCAGCTCCGGCCGCAGCAGCAAGGGCTGTGAAGGCGGCTCTGGCCGCAGCATCGAGGGCTGAGAAGGCGGCTCTGGTTGGAGCAGTGAGGGCTGTGAAGGCGGCTCCGGCCGGAGTAGCGAGGTCTTTGATGGCGGCTCCAGCTGGAGCAGCGAGGGCTGTGAAGGCGGCTCTGGCCGGAGCGAAGGCCTGGGTCCCGGGTGCCGGAGGAAAACCGGTGCCGGCAGCCAGGGTAAGGGAAGGCCTATTGCACACATCTTTTTATGCAACAGGCCTCTAGTTAACTAATAAAAGTAAAAAGTAAAAACATGGGTTTAGTGCATGTGAACTCTATAAGTGGAAGTTGTTATTGTAGTGTGGGTGTGGTAACATTAAATTATATCTTTGGATGGATTTATTACCACATTACTATAATACATGAATTTAGACATATTAAGTATCATATAATATTATCTTGCTAATCCTGTATAATAAAGAGGTAATATGCAAATTAACCCTCATGCCCTCACAAGATGGCTGCCTACGACCAGGCCAGCAGGGGGATTAGAGAGGGAGAACCAAACAACTGAACAGCAGGCTGCGTGGGGCGACCAGGCCAGCAGGGAGGTTAGTGAGGGATGACCAAAGACTGAACAGCAGGCTGCGTGGAGTGACCAGGCCGGTGGGGGGGCCGTGAGGGGCAACCAGGCCATCCAAGGGACAGTTGGAGGTGACCAGGCCAGCAGGGGGGGCAGTAAGAGGTGACCAGGCCAGTGGGGGGGGGATGCAAGAAAACATCCTATGTGTTTGAGAATTGAGTTGTTTCTGTGAATTTGTTTTCACTGTAGACTTCGTGTATCATCTTAAAGCAAGCAGTGAAATTATGAAATTATTATGTTTCTTGTGACCTAGTAATAAATTGCTAATGACTTCTAGAGAGTCTCTTACCTGGCTATAATGGAAACTTTGAAATAATGTAAGGTGTCTGATTAAACAGGTTGACATAATATAATACTATGTACATGTGTTTGGTAAGGCTTTGTTTTGGTCATTATACCTGATGATATCATGACACATAAAACCACCAGGTTCTAAGCATAGTAAAGAAAGAGAGAAGGAAGAGTTAAAATTATAATAGTAATATTAAAATCTCAAATGTTTATAGTGTTTTTTTATATTTTAGTTTGGAAAGCACTGTTGTAATATATATTTCATTTTACCTTCACTTATTCTTTCTCTAATTTCTTACTTTCTTTATGTAGTTCTGAGTTTCTAACCTATATATATCATTTTCCTTCACTCTGAAAAACTTTCAACATTTCTTGCGAGGCAAGTCTTCTGGCAACAGATTCCCTCAGTTTTTCTCTAAGTTTTTATTTTTTCTTTACTTTTGAAAGATGATTTCGCAGGATACAGAATGCTAGGTTTGTGAGGTTTTTTCCTTTCAATACTTTAAATATTTGAAATGCTTGTATGGTTCTTCTTGCATGGTTTCTAAGAAGTTAAATCTAATTCTGATATTTACTCCTCTGTAGATAACTGTTTTCCTCCTTTCGCTTCTTTCAGGATATTTTCTTTATTTTTCTGTTGTTTGAAAATTATATGACTAGGTGTAGTTTATTTTTAGCATTTATCCTGATTGCTATTCTCTGAGCTTCCTGGATCTGTGATTTGGTGTCCAACATTCTTTGAGAAACTGTACAAAATAAGATGAGAACCCGAAGTTTAGAGATAGACAAATTTCCAAATTTTATGACGGAAAATGTAAGTGGATTTTGAATACTGTGTCATTGAACTTGACATGAATTCTATGCAAAATTCAAATGGGATTTTTTTTTAATGACTTCTTTTTCAAAGTGTTAACATTGCTTACTGGTTGCCTACATGGGTTCCCAAAGAACAATTCCTGTCAGATTAAGCTTAATGGTCAAGATTCTTAGCTATCCTCTGGTTAAGATGTAGACAGGTGTGCTTGATGATTCGATTGTTAGGTGGATTGTGAGCTGGATAGACAGCTTTACCCAGAGAATACAGTTAATTGGATTGATATCCAATATCAAAGGAGTTTGCTGCATTCTTCAGGGCTCAATCCTGGACTTTGTTCCTTTCAGCATTTTTATAAACTGGGCACATGAATGTCATTTTGTTCAAATTTTTAAATGACCAAGCAATAAAGATTAGTTAAGACATTGAATGACAGAATCAGTTCCTCTGAACATGTTATACACAAAATACCAACAAATTGGATAAACATAAAAATCTGAAATAAGTTCCTCAACTGCCATGAATATAATAGCACAAAAGAAAGTGATTGAGGGCTGGGTGTGAATTAGTGGTCTGCTGGGAGAGTCATGCTCTACTTATTACGCCATGTTTTCTGTATGGCTGTATCATGGAGAATAGGGATAAGTGGATTGATGCTACAAGTTGCCTGAAGAGGCTGTTCTAGCAACTTAACTGTTCAGTTGAAAAGAATTACTTTGTTACTATAAATGATGCTTTCTTTAAAATTATTTAGCTAAGCAAGGTAAACTTATCTATACTGGAGATTGAAAAGTATAGAGTGTGAAGCATATTATGTTAAACTTCTGAAAATTATATATAGTTAAGGCTGATAATTTCTTATTTCAGAAGGTTATTAAAGAATTGATATCTGTGATGGTAGGCTAATTGCTTAAATAATTCTGACAGAGACAGTAGTTATTAAAAAGTATGGATAGATATGTGTTCTTAAAAATTATATATCTGTATAGCTAACAAAAAGTGAACTCAACTAAGTTATGAATTCTTTAGGTAGTTATAGAAGAAATGATCTTATAGGAATAGTTTGAGAAAGGAATGAGTGAGTGAATGTTTTATTTTCTTTGTTATAGAGAGGTAGACTTTTGAGTTAAGAATCTATCTAGTAAATACAGGGTTTTTTTTTTTATCCAGTCCTACATAGCATTTTTTTGTATGAAAGAGAAAGATGGTTTGGAATATGTAAGTGTGACTTGAGCTACTGAGAATTAGAAGAATAGTATATGTAAATTGTAACTGATAGTGTAGACTCAGGGGAAAAACATTATCAAATAACATTTCATTAGGCTTTCCTTGATGCAGTGGTCTAATGCTCAGCAGTGTAGGTGAGGGGAGTAAACTGTACTCATAAAGACTTCCAGGCCTGCCCCACTTCTGCTAACAGGTGCACATTAACAGTAGCTAGCAAATAAATGTCAAAAGAAGTTATTTTTTAAAAGTGTCATTTCACATGAAGGAGTTAAATGGTTAAGAACAATTACATTAAGATTATATTTATACTAGAGGCCTGGTGCACAAATTCGTGCATGGGTGGGGTCCAGTTGGCCTGCCTCGATGGGGGCTGATCAGGGCCAGGCCGGCTTGGGGCGGGGGGCTGAACTGGCTGGGAGAGGAGTCGTGGGAGGTTGGGGGGGGCAATTGGGGCCCCCATTGGGCTGGTTGGCCGCCGCAGTGCGCCTCATAGCAACCAGTTATTCCGGTTGTTCTGTCATTCTGGTCGCTTGGCTTTTATATATATAGTCACTATTTTGAGGTACTAATATGTAAGGTCTGTCACTGTGAGCTCAATAATCATGTTTACTTGTTTGTTTTGTTAATACAATAATAAATGTTCTAAGCTTCATTACACTATGCTTCATATGCTTTATTACACTAACTTTATACAAAATCTGTATAATTGAGTTTTAAAGGCTTGATTGGTTTAAGAAAAATTAATACATCTGATTATTTACTTTAAAGCTACAGAAGAAAGAAGATCAGCAATTAGAACCTAAAAAAAGCACCAGCCCTAAAAAAGCTGCAGAGCCGACTGTTGATCTTTTAGGACTCGGTAAGTAATGAAAAGTTCAAGTCACCATTATAGTTACAAAACATTGGAAACCTTTACTTCAAATGAATATAATAGCTTTATTATCAGTGTGCTAAAAGATAACTGTTAACTGAATTTAAAAATGTTATGATTACTTTGCTGAGTTCCCACAAAAAAGCAAGTCTTTAATAAGGTTGCTCGTCTCTGTCAGCACTGTCTTCTTGGAAATCCAAGTAATGAGTTCCTTGGGGAAAGAAAAGATATCAAAGTAACCTTCAAAGGCTTGGTAGATGGTGACATTTCAACATTTAAAATAAAGAATAGATTCATTTCCCCCGCCCCCTCTCTAATTGAGTCTGTGTTGGGGATGGGGGCCGAGGAGAGGTCCCCTAGCAAAATAATTCTGGGATAGCCTTGTTATAAAATGTGCTGGTGTAAAGTAAATTTAATCTTGGTTAACTGAAGCATCACACTTTATACCTATATCTACTAGCTAGGTTCATTTTATATACCTGATGATAATAAGGCTCATTTTAATTTAATGTTGTATTTATTCTCATGGCTGATAGATATATGTTGTCTGCCTGGTAAGTAAACAGACTTTCATTCGAGGATTGCTTGTACTGTGCTTATCTACCAATATTGTCAGCTCTTTTTAAAATTTTCTTCTCTTCTAAAATAGCTTGATAAATGGTGATTTTTAGTAATATTTGAGCCTTTAAGCAGTAGTTAATTAAAAACATGTTTTTTAGTTTGGAGAAAGATTAACAATTAAAAGATAATGACAGTTGAAGGGTAGAGTTGAACTTCATACACTGCTTTTCTGAAAATTGATCTTAGTTCTTACTGGGTAAATTGTTTTCAGTTTCAGGAATTACAATTGAACATTTTATTCATTTCTTAGGAAGCTGATATAACATGCAAATATACAACCTAGGGTTAAAAATCTCCTATGGTGGTAAAAATAAGCAGTATATTAAAATATTCAAGAACTGTAATTTTGGAAATAGAGTTTAAGTCCAGGGCTCTAAATATAATTATGTTGAGTTCTAGTCCTCATAATTCACACAAGCTTCCCTGCTTCAAAGCCGGCCAGGTTACACAGAGGGGCTTGGAAAAGGAGCCGTGAACAGAACAGAGGTTCAGGTCGTCTTTTAAGACCACTTCAGTCATTTTAGTCAGTTAGCCTTAAAATTACCTATTTAGCATTAAGAAAGATTAATTGAAAATAAAAGCAAATAGTTCCACTTAACTCTCAGGCACCTATATTTATTTAAGCACTTGAAAACAGTCTATAGCTTAAAAATTTTTATATGCTTCAAATGGACATTTGTGAATTGAATTTTCAACGTAACACATGGAAGTTTATTTCACTTATAAAGCAAGTTATGTTTTAATATAAAGGAACTCCAAGTAATATTTTTCTTAAGGAAAAAGCTTTAAATGGTTTTAGGAGTAGAAAATAAAAAGGGTTCTTTGAGTAACATGAAAATTTATAAAGCTTTAAGAAGACAGAGTTTTTCCATTAAGGAGAGCACCACTGCATCTCATGGAAGCAGCCTTCTTTCATCATTGCTGTCTCCATTTAAATTCATTCTTAGGATGACGCCTCAGTAGTCACCGATGAAGAATTAGACTTGGCAGTTTTCACTGTAGCAGGGGTGCACTCAAAGCTGAATGTCCATGTTCAGTCAAAAGCGGTAATGAAAAACATCACATCCATTTCCTTATCATATTCTTATCTGCCTTAAACTAGATTAGCAATACATAAAATCTCATGTTGCTCTTTGACATTTTTTTTTATTTGTGCAAATAGATTATGACCAGCTAATGCCTCTGACATTCAATAAAGGATGAATTCAATTAATATTTATTGAGCCCCAGCAGAGTTCATGGAACTCTAGTAAATACCAGAAAAATGCAGCTGTGTGTGCAAGTGGGGGATGAGGTTGCAGTCTGGAAACTAGAAGATGGAGTTATTGCTGAGGGAAGAAGTGGGATCTTTTAAGAGAATTGGTTTCGAGAATTCAGCTTGAAATCTGGAATAATGCTAAAACTCCCAATTTAAATTATATTTTCTTCAAGTCAGAGAGTAATTTTCTTGCTGCTGCTAAGTCAGAGGGAGGAGTAAGTGAAGTTTTTTGTGCCCACTTGTTCCAAGTAAAATCTAATATGTTATGGAGGAACAAATGAGTAGTGGTTGGAAAGTTAAGCACCTTCCCAGATAAACACAGCTTTTGGTGCCTCACCTGTGTAAAGCACCAAGTTATGTTTTAATATAAAGGAACTCCAAGTAATAATTTTATTAAGGAAAAAAGCTTTGAGTGGTTTCAGGAGTAGAAAAGAAGCTTTAAATGGTTTCGGGAGCAGACAGCTTCGGAGTTCCAGTCAGGTGCTGTGATAGCACACTTGGAACCCATCTGTAGGAGAGGAGAGTAAGATGTGCTCTGGCCCCCGGGGTGGCTGGTAGAGGAGACTAACCCATGCAGTTGCCTGGGCTGCTGTGGACAGAGGGACTGTGAAGGACACAATTCTGATTTAGAGAGATAATCCCATCTGTCACTGAAGGAGAGGAGAGAGGAAGCCACGGGTAAGGATCCCAGTCAGGAACGTAGCAGTTGTAGTGCCCCAAATGCTCAGCACTGTCAGCGGGTGCAAGTGGGGCTGGCACCGTCAGCGTGTGGGAGTGGCGGCAGTGGGAGCGGGGACGTGGAGGATGGGCCGAGACCCACCCCTGTGCCCACCGCAGCCTCACAGCCCACAGTTCCTTTCAAGGTGGGCCCCTAGTGACATTCTAAAGGCACTTGGCAAGGCTGCCACTTTGCATGCAGCCTCGGCCTTTAGTAGTAGGCCTGAGTGACCAGATGTGGGTGATGTGGCCTACAATGGAAGTGGTGCTGCATCTTGTGGGCTCCAGAGTCATTTGTTGCCTCAGAAGGGAGGTCAGCCAACTACTGTGGCTGCAATTGGTATAAAGCCAACCCCCTGCCCCCAAGGCCTTCCATAGAGAGGTAGGGCAACTGTCTATTTTAGCCCTGGGTGAGGAAGAGGCACCTGTTTGTGCTTGGGGCACCAGGAGAAGCTTCTCAGTCTGGTTATAGCAGCTGAGTTTTCCAGGTGCAAGACCAGACTTCTGTTGAAATCTTAGGCTTATTGTGTAAATCTTCTTAAGGTAATGTGATGGCTAACCTGAGATGCTTTGTGTCTGATCAGAGTACCTGGCAAAGTACTAGTGTTAAAAGTGTGTTATAGAAATGCAAAGTGTTATTTTATTTCCCGTCAGTTTATAAATTATTGTTCAAAGGAATTTGGAATGTGCCAAGAAGAAGCCACTAAATAATGTTGTAAATACTTTGTTTACCTTCATTCATTTGGATTATTGATATCAGATGAGTTCTGGCATAGCCACAGTTAATAGAATCAATGGTCTCATTCACCATTTTGAGGATTTCTCAGTGGTAGAGATTGGCCTTCATGACTTTGTCATATTTGAAATGTTACCTTCTTTTTAAGCATCTATCAGTGTCACGGTGTGAAATAGGCCAGTAAATGCATGCTGGGAATGCCGTATGTTCATGAGATGCAGCATTGCTTTAACAACTTTTTTCCTTTAACTCAAATCATAACCTTTTCTTGTAAACTTGTGTTATGTGTGCAGTTTTAAAATGATCTACTAACTCAGTGTTCAGATAAAACACTAGTATGAAATCTTAAGGTAACATAGAAAATGGTTACCCACAGCAACTAACTAGGCTTGATGTCCTTGCCTTGAAGATCGAAATTCCTTCTTCATTTTACTGCATTGTCCTAATTTCTTCTGTTTGCTCATTGCCTTTTTAAGGGGTCCTTTGTGCTTCATTATCATTTTTTATGATGTTGTCCCAGCTAAATTTCTTCCATTTGCCTTAGGCTTTTCTTGTACTCTGGATCTCCCATTATTTTTATTGTCCACCAACCACTATTTCTGCATACTGATTAAAAGGGGTTGCTGCCTCCTCTTGCTGCTGGCTGCTCCTGCCACCAGTCTGTAGCTGAGCCAGGAACACTACATGAGGTGCATGTCTGTGGGGAATTCTGATGTTATGCACAGACAACCACTTCTCTCTTAGCAGGCACTGTGTGGATTAGTCTGAGCTTCCCCCCACCCTGGAGGAGGTTTCCATTTGTTTGGGTGTGTGCACGTGTGTATTTTGTGCACATCAAATGTAATCCATGCGGACTTAAATGTTTTTCTTAAGCTATTTTTGAATAACAAGTTCTTTGTATAAGCTTTATTATTTCTAAATTTTTAAATTATATATGTATCTGAGAAACTGTTTTCAACATCTTGGTATTCTGTTGCTTTTGTGGCCTCTGAGCTTTTAATCATTAGTCAGCAAATTAGTGGACCCTGGATCAGAAGAATGCATTGAACTCCCAGTGATTTGTGAATATTGTTGATTGACTGATTATACACCACACTTGGTTCTCTCAGCCCAGTCGGCTCAGTGATGACCATATCCACCTGCATCCCTCACTGTAAACTGAGAAGACACTGGGCTTGGTAAGAGGAGAGTGGAGTGGGGGAGACGCCGAGGAACTGTGAGTGTGGTGCTGAATGGTTTCTGCACTATTTCTGTCCCTGTTTCTCTAACTTAGTAGAAATAATTATGAACTATTTAAAGGTTGGTTTTTATTTTCAGAATTTTAAGTGATTTATTTTTAACTAGGGTCAGTTGTAAGTACCTGAGTTTTGATGAAATGTGGTTTAAGGAAAAGAGCACTCACTAGTCTGGAGGTCAGAAGACTTTACAGTGCAGGTTTTTTGCTACTGAACTCTAGGGTTGTGACATTGAGCAAGTGTTTTAATCTCTTTGTGCCCTGGTTTCTATAACTGGAGATAATGGAAAGAGATGCCCTTCTCATATTTCATGGAGACAAAAATGATAACATGTAAATATTCTATAAAAGTGTATAGGAAACATGATGGTTATGATGATGATAATGATAAAGTCTTTAAGTGTCCTTTTTAAATACTGAAAATCAAAAACAACAGAGTGAATTGAAACTATCTTTTTTAAAGAATGTATTTTGCAAGCCAACTGTAGTGAGTCAAATTAACAGACATTGAAATCCATTGGGAAAACCCACTGGAAACTTGTATTTACTGATTTTTGCAAGGCTGAGTTTTCAATTAGGTTAAAGGTTTTTCAAAAATTCTGTGACTGCTTAGCTTTTGTAGTAACAAGGAAAATTGATGGGGTGAAATCCATCGTATGAGGGGATCATATGGGTAGAAGAATGGGTTAAAGAGAACACAGGGCAAGTATGCGGTAGGTGTGGGAGCAGAGGAGAATCACCTGTGCCTATCACGTGGCAGTAGAGAGGGAAACCTGGTCAGGCCCGTAAGAGAGTGTTTCAGAACTAAGAGAAAATTCTCCCCATCACTTGAACACAGTGTCAGCCTGGCCACACGATTGTTGTCCCTAAGCAGATGCTCCTCTCATTCTGAAGGATTCCAGAGTCCCTTGGACTGACATTGTGAGTTAACTTTAATGGATGCTCCTCTAATTGTGGTAGGTGGTTACAAAGAGAGCCCAATTTTGTTGTTTGTGCAGAATGCCTTTCTGAGATTTCAGGAGGTCAGTTCTTTAAAGATGTTTTAATGGGATGTGAAAATGAAGCTGTTTACTTTGCAATGATAGGAACAGAAGTTATGTTACCTTGCAGTGTAGGAAGTCAGCTTATATTAAGAACTGTGGGTGTTTACTGTTCTGTTTTTGTATGGCGAAAGCCTGTAAACTACCTAAATGCCCAACAGTGGAGAATTGAATAATCACTTATTGTAGGTCCATGCAATATCCTAGAATGCAATCCACCCCATCTACACATACATAATTTTATTTAAAGAAAACTTTTTGTATTGTATTGTTGTACGTACATTGTTTATAAGCATAGAAAAGGTATGGTAAGGGACTTTTTTGTGCTGAAATATACATAAAATTTAAGATTTTAACCAGTTTTACTAGTGGTATTAAATAAATTCACATTATTATGCAGTCATCACCATTATCCATAGTAGGGAACTCTTACTCATTTTTGTAGGGTTTGCATCTTTTACAAGAACGTGTTGCTTTTAAAGTAAAAATTGAGGAGGATTACCACCTCAGGCTTTGCTCTAGTTCTGCGACACTAGACAAGTGTACCCTTTTATTTTTGCCATCTTTAAATGAGGATAATTGATAGTGCCTCTCTCATAGCATAGTTATAAACGTTGAACAAATGCATGTTTATTGTGTGTATTTGTGTTTTTTAAGATTTTGTGCAAAACAAGCACTATACTAAGTGTTGGCTGTTAATTTTACTAGTTACATGTGTCCTAAGGTGTGAAGGGTAAAATTAGACTTCAAAAACTAAATGAAATGCTCCATGTTGTTTTACAGATTAGATATGGTACTACCAGGTAGGTTTGAAAGTATAACTAAGTTAATATTCTTAATGAAGTATAATGCACTACTTAGAACAGACTTAAAAGTTTCTGAAAGATGTACAGTATAAAAGTAATAAAAACAGGCCATTTGCTGTATTAATAGGTTAACCCCCTGGTTCTCACATAGTGCATCCTTTGCTCACTGCTGTTTTGACTAGATTGACATGGCCTGTGGTAAAAATCAGTTGATAGTACTTAATTCACCAAAGGAAAAAAGGTAATAGAGTCAAACTTCATTTCTCGAATGTCTCCCATTTCAAACAATCGGTTCTTGACCAAGTTGTTCAGTTTTCTACCTGACAACCCTTTCAGGCTGATACCTTAGCATGACAAAAAGTCTCTGAGACAACCAAGTAGAGATTGCTTTTGTTGCTGGCGAAATTAAATGATTAGCACAATTTTAAAACATAAAGAGACTACTAAGAGTGCTAATGTTGCTTAAGGTATGAAAGTGTTCACAAAATAATCACAGGCAATTGAATAGGTAGAAAAAACTGTTGTTGATTGGATAAATGAAAAGCAGTTAACCAGTGATAGCATTTCAGAAGCCGCGATATATTAAAATTTTGTTTAAGGCCCGCCCTTGTGGCTCAGTGGTTGAGTGTCGACCTATGAATCCCAGGAGGTTAAGGTTTGATTCCCCATCAGGGCATATGCACTGGTTGTGGGCTCGATCTCCAGTGTGGGGTGTGCAGGAGGCAGCCGATCAGTGACTCTCTCTCATCATTTGTTTCTCCCTCTCCCTTCCTCTCTAAAATCATTAAAAGTATACATTAAAAAAAAAAATTCATTTAAGGATACTAGGGGATGGTTTGATAAATTTAAGAAGTGTTTATAAATTAAACAGTACATTGGACATGTACTATATATAAGTAAGGTTAAAACAGAGTCATTTGGGAGTCTCGAACGGATTAATTCAATTTACATTATTTTTAATGAGAAAAAATGATTGTTTTCAAACAAATTGCTTCTCAAACAGCCTTCTGGAATGAATGAAGTTCGAGAACCGGGGTTCCACTATAATAGTATTTTCTTATGTTTAAGGATTTTCCCCCAAAATTTACCCTAATTTTTAGTGTTTACTAGTATTCCTTCAAAAAGCAAAGAAATTTAACCGTAAAATTGGAAATAATTATTTCCTGTTTTAAACTTTTTTCTTGGTTTGTAGTTTGTTTTGGGGAGGACATGTGCTTCTGTTTGTGAGTTGAAATTGCAGATATATAAGATAGTCATATTTTGTTATTGAATTAAACATGTCTCTGATGTGGATGTTCCCCTACCTTGCACACTACAGTTTATGGGTTAAAGCACCACTGGCTTACAAGGCATTGGACTGAGTTTATTTACTGAGCTGTTGTAATATCACAAAGATGTTCCTTTAGTTGTGTTTTTAATCTAGAATACCTTTTTCTTTTATGCTGTTTCATTTCTGGTTCATATTTACATGATGTACTATATAGTACATAATGTGCTATATACATCGTGTAAATGGAATGTGGAATGGATAGAAAATATAAAATAGATCTTTAAAGAGGTCTAATTTCAGAATGAATGTTGCCTTTTGAAATGGTTAGAAATGAAAATTACTTTCATGTATGAGTCATTTGAATGCTTTTATGTCATAGTTGTGTCTTAGCTTAAAATTCTGTATCTTATAAATTAGTAATAATCTGTGCATTGCTTTATTGCTTCATCTTTAACTTGTCCATAGTCCCAGGTATATGGCTCTGATAATGTGATATCACTGGAAGTGACTGAAAAATGTTTGCAGTTGATTTCTTCCAAACTAACTTTTGTGGGTTTTACATACTCTTTTATAAATTAGGTAGTAAAAAAATATCTTATTGTGACAATTTATTCACTGAAATTAATCTGTGATTTCCTAAAGCTCCAAACAGGGAAATGAATAATATCAATTTCTATAGTTATACTTCAAAAAAAGAGAAGAAACCTATGAGTTTCTGTGGGTTGTAGTAGAAATACTGAGTACATGGTAGAACATTCATTAACAACATATGTTACATCAAAGAGAGGCCACGTGAAATTGTAAATTGTTAAAATAGAAGCCTGATTAGGATATAAGTCCCAGAGATTGGAGTCATGATGCTCAGAACTGTTACTTGGTTGTGGCCACAAAAAACAGAACCATGTGAGATGTTCCATGTCCTGGAATACCATGCTCTGAAACTCCTTCTCACTCCACTCCAATTTCCAACCCTTACACTGTGTAAATTTTGTACTAATGTAAAAGGAGATATTTTAAAAGGTTTTATGAATGATAGGGTAAGTAGGAACTGATAATAGAATGTTTGCCCCCTATCAGAGTTCCTTTCCCATTATAGCTCAGTGGCTTGGTACTGCCAAGAAATGGTTTATTTCAAGTTTTATGGATACTTCCTATGGAACCAGTGTATGTTTTCTTTCTTTTTATCCAGTTTTTTCCCTTATAGTAACTTTAAAATGCAACATTTCAGACATTTAAAATCATCAAAATTTATTTCTATGGTAGAAATACTAGTACATGCTATGAAGTGATATCCAAAACACACCCATTTATGAAGAGGCATTGTTTGTAAGAACATGGTATCAGATCCCAGCTTAGCTAATCAACTCAAAAGTAGTGTCTGTCTCATTAGGTTATGGGGATTAAATGAGTTAATATATGTGGAGTACCCAGAACAGTACCTGGTACATACGGGAGCATCAGGATACAGAATAATGTGAATATATGACACCATTTATTAAAAACTTTATATATACACCTCGGTGTGTGTGTGTGTATATATATATGCATATACATGTATGTATATGTATGTATGTGTTCTATTTGGATATAGAATATGGTGGATAAAATTATCTGGAAGAATAAAATTGAAAATGGTTTCTTTGAGTAAGGGGATAGAACAGCGAACCTTTTGAGCTCGGCGTGTCAGCATTTTGAAAAACCCTAACTTAACTCTGGTGCCGTGTCACATATAGAAATTTTTTGATATTTGCAACCATAGTAAAACAAAGACTTATATTTTTGATATTTATGTTATATATTTAAATGCCATTTAACAAAGAAAAATCAACCAAAAAAAATGAGTTCGCGTGTCACCTCTGACACGCGTGTCATAGGTTCGCCATCACTGGGATAGAACCTGGAGTAGAAGGGGAAGATATATGTTGTTAACTTTTTGAACTGTTCTTTTTTTTAACCATATATTTTTAAAATAATGCCATGTTTTAAGTACTAAGAGATTCTACTTTAAGACAAGAATCTATGCTCTTTTTAGATGGTCCTGCTGAGGCACCAGTGACCAATGGGAACACAACCACAGTGCCAGCCCTGAATGATGATCTGGACATCTTTGGACCAATGATTTCTAATCCTTTACCTGCAACTGTCATGCCCCCAGCTCAGGTATGTTGTAAGAGTATGGTTTTACACAATCACTACTAATTTCCTTTCTGAAAAGTTTCAGAATTTCCATTGCTGATTTGAAAGCCTCCTGTTCTTTAGTCCAGGGGTTGGCAAACTAAGCCTGCAGCTTGTTTGCACATAGTTTTATTAGAACACAGCCACTCCCAGTCATTTGCATATTGTCTGTAGCTGCTTTCCTACTAAAAAGCAAGTTGAATAGTTCCAACACTACATGACCCACAAAGCCTAAATATTCACTACCTAAAGTTTGCTAACTTTTGCTGTAGGTAAACAACAGTGTTTAGAATGAACAAGTAGGAAAACTCAGACTACTATTTCAGCCTTGTCTGAGATCATCAAGGCCACTTACCTCTGAGGTTTTTAAACTGGGGGTGTATAACTATTGACTGGCAGCCAGTACTTCTTTTCTTATGCTCTATTGAGCTATCCCCAAGATACTATTTACTTCTGATTGCAGGAAAACAGAATAAGAAATTCTAGCAAATTCAGTATTCATATTCTTTTTCATGAAGATAAATTGTTTTAAGTTAGCCTTAAAACCTACCTTCCCTTTTTTATTTTGGTGATGTTTAAAAAAACAATTGAGAACATAATATTAATGATCAGGACTTTTTCTTCAGCGTTAATGGTAAATTTTGAATTGCCTTCTGAACATTACATGGAATTTCTTTTTTTGCCTTTATTAAAATTATAAATTGTTTAATACCTTAAATACTATTTCAGGTATAGTATTTAATACATTAAATACTATAACTGACAAAATTGTAATATTTTAAATGCATAACATAATGACTTGATAATGCCGGTGGTTCTTGTTCCGGCATCTAGGGTTCAGAAATCTGGAGAAGGGCTGTGCGTAAATGAAATAAGAGTCCAGAGACGAAGCATAATTTTGAAAGGCATTATAGGTAGTCAGAGAAGACTTAGCTAAAGGAACTAAGTTCTCCTTGTCTCAGGACCCCTTGCTTTTTATTAACACAATTTGTCCTAAGCGAGTTAGATATACACATCAAAGGCCAGGGTTAGGTACAGAATCCATTGTCAGATTGGCGAATTGCCTTCGGCTGTTCAGATGTTCGGCCAACAGAAGGTAATAACATGCAGATTAAGATGCCATGAGCTGTCTGGCAGCAAGCAATCATCCCTTTTCAGGTTTGGGGAAATGCCCTTGCCACTCTAGATGATTCAGCCCTTGCTGACATGCTGGAATTAGCTTCTGGCAACTTGATATTATGTATACATTGTGAAAGGATTCCCACCATCAAGTTAATTAACACATTTTTACTTTTTTGGGGAGATGGGGAAGGACACAAGTTCTACTCTCTTAGCAAATTTCCATTATACAATCTATAATAATAAAAGGGTAATATGCTAATTAGACCAGATGAAGACAGGGCTGCAAGGGAAGCCTGGGTCCTGGGTGCCAGAGGGAAGCCAGTCTGGCAACCAGGGGAAGGAAGGCCTACTCTTGCACGAATTTCATGCATCGTGCCTCTAGTATAGATTAATCAACTGTAGTCACCATGTTGTTATGCATTAGATCCTCAGACCTTATTCATCTTATAGCTGAAAGTTTGTACCCTTTTACCAGGCTCAGGCTCCCCGTATTTCCTCCATACCCAGCCTCTGCAACCACCATTCTGTTCTGTTTCTATGAGTTTGATTTTTTTAAATTTTTTTACACATATAAGTGATAAATGCAGTCATGCAGTATTTGTCTTTCTTTAAGGTGAAATATATGAACTTTCAGGAATATTGATTACTCTTAAGCATACAACTAAGATTCTATGCTAAACTTACACTTTACAAATAAGCAAGTAGTTTGGTTCATTACAGCATAATTTTTGAGGTAAAATATTTCATTTTCTCTAGAAAAACTGGACCAATAGGAATTGTTTGGATGGAACGTTTTAATAAGATAGAGGTTATGTCTTATTGAGAAGACTAATTACATGTATTTTTATTACACATATTATGATAGCACTGTATAATTACCACTAGAATTGAGAAAATAGATTCCTTAGGAATAGTTTAAATGGATCTTTATCATTAATGTTTATTTTTAGAAAAGAACTTTATGGGGAAAGCAGTTTCTTTTGGTCTAACATTCTAGTGAGGTTGTTTTATCTCATAGACTTCTTTAGATACCATTGGAGTATGAATTGCTCTGCACCTGCTTGGAGAATTAGACTCCATATCTGAGGCTTTGGTGTACTTCATGTGTTCTGCTTAGTATCAGAGCAGCAAGGGGGAACAATGCAGACCATTTAACGCTTAAGTATCGCCATGATGAGGAGTGTGTGTGCATAGCTTTTGCTGGCAAGCACTGTATACAAGAAAGGTTAAAATGGAGAATCATTTGAGTTTCTAAAATGGATTAATTCAATTTACATTATTTCTAATGGGAAAAAATGATTCCATTTTCAAACAAATCACTTCTTGTACAGTTCTTCTGGAACAAATTCGAGAACCAAGGTTCCACCTGTGTGCAAGATAGAGATTAAGTGAAAATTTTTGTTTTGTATGAAGTCTACATTTATTTGCATTTGTGTTCATTTGCCCCTTGTCCAAAAGTGGAATACAAGATATGGTTGGGAGTGGGGGTGGTTCAAGTATTGCTGTCCTTCATTTTTGGATAGATTAGAAGCATTCTAAGGTTGTGGTTAAAACTGATCTAGATTAGGTTTATAAGAATATCACAATGCAGCTTTTGAAGAGCCTCCGCCCCCCACCCCCGGACAAAAGCAGCCTTTGCAGGACTCTCTTACAGTCTGTAGTTGTAGAAATGTTCTTTAATCCAAGGGATACCAGTTCCTTGAAGTAGTTGCTAAGGGAGATGCCTGAGCACCTCCCGGGAATGGTGATGCTCAGACAGCAGCCACATCCCCTACCTGTTGACCCCATTGTGGTCAGGACGGGATGCAAAAACTCAGCATCAGTCTGGCAGGTAAACAAAATTTATTATGTACTAGTAAGAGTTTTTTATTTTAAAAAATACATTTTTATTGATTTTTAGAAAGAGAGGAAGGGAGAGGGAGAGATAGAAACATCCCTGATGGGAGAGAATCGTGGATCGGCCACCTCCTGCACACACACACCCCCCCCCACACTGGGGATCAAGCCCATGACCCGGGCAAGTGCCCTTGACCAGAATCGAACCCGGGACCCTTCAGTCCTCAGGCCGATGCTCTATCCACTGAGCCACACTGGCTAGGGCCCATGATTCTCTCTCATCGTGAATGTTTCTCTCTCTCCCTCCCCCTTCGTCTCTGAGATCAATAAACATGTTTTTTAAAGCCACAATCAAACGAGCCGGACGCTCGCTCAAAGAATTTCAATCTACCTTTTCTACATTAATACATTCAAAATAGTAAATATCATACCTTTATCCTTTTTTTTTTTAAATATATTTTATTGATTTTTTACAGAGAGGAAGGGAGAGAGATAGAGAGCGAGAAACATCGACCAGCTGCCTCCTGCACATCTCCCACTGGGGATGTGCCCACAACCCAGGCACATGCCCTTGACCGGAATCGAACCTGGGACCCTTCAGTCCGCAGGCCGACGCTCTATCCACTGAGCCAAACCGGTTTCGGCTCATACCTTTATCCTAAATGTTTTTGTGTGGGATTGTGAATGATCCTCTTTAATGCACCATTTTACCTTCTACAAGTTGTTGAATTTCTAATTTCATAACTTCACGTGGATTTTAAGTAATGGATGAGTCATGTTTTAGTATGCACAATTCGATAGTGTGTTTTGGTGTTTGTCTCAGGGGACGTCCTCTGTACCAGCAGCCGCCACTGTGTCTACAGTAACATCTGGGGATCTGGATCTATTCACGGAACAAACGACCAAGTCAGAAGAGGTGACAAAGAAACAACTCTCCAAAGACTCCATCTTGTCCCTGTATGGCGCAGGGACCGTGCAGCCACAGAGCGCTCCTGGTAATTCTTTTTGAAGTCTGCTTTCAGGGACTGCAGTGGCATTACTGGAAGTGAGCCTTTGTGGTTATAATATATCAATTATGTTTCTTCCCCATTTTTCTATGTAATGAGTGCTTTTGTTGTTGCAATTTACACAACTACAAAACTGAAATGAATAAAGCATTAGAATTAAAAAGCAGGTACAGGAGTCACAGAACTTTATTCATTTAGATTAACAAGCTGTTCACATATCACTTATTGTTTCACAAGCTTTTAGGACATAGATTATCTTTGAATAATTATTTAAATTTGATTTGCATGAAGTTTATAACTGTACAGCATGGTATTTTCTCTGCAAGTAAACAATAAGCAGTCTGAATTATTACATGAATTCAAAAAAAGGTTTGAGATTTAAAAAATAATTATAATAAATACTAGCAAGGTAAGATTTGTTGTTTACACAGTTTTAATCTGTCAGACTACCTCTTTTAAAATAATGAGATCCCACCTGCTTCCCTTAAAGCCAGGCACAGTGAACTTGCACCTGTGTATTTGGTAGTGGGAGACCAGTGGTTTAGGTTAGCAGAAACAGCACGTCATCTCATGCTATGCAGGTTGGTCTTCACAATGGATATTTTTCTATCCATGTATTTATTCTAATTAAAATTGCTCAGGTTCATAACTGATTTGTCTGCTTCTGGAAATAACCAGCTCTGAGAGTGTAGGCTATGAAATGGTCTGAGCAGTAGGAGCAGCCAGACCAAATTTAAAATTTTGCTATGGGTAGTTCAGAAAAATGGTAATTGTTTTTCTGTGATTATAGAATTGAGTGCAGCTGTATACAGTAGCCCTGTTCTCTTCATTTTCTTTTCATGGTTCTTATGATGCAGGTGTATTTATGGGACCCACAAATATACCATTTACCTCACAAGCACCGACTGCATTTCAAGGTTTTCCATCAATGGGTGTACCTGTGCCTGCAGCTCCTGGCCTTATGGGCAATGTGATGGGACAGAGTGCAAGCATGATGGTGGGCATGCCCATCCCCAATGGGTTTATGGGAAATGCACAAACTGGTGTGATGCCACTGCCTCAGAATGTGATTGCCCCCCAAGGAGGAATGGTTGGACAGATGGGTGCACCCCCAAGTAAGTTTGGCCTGCCTCAAGCTCAACAGCCCCCGTGGAACCTGTCCCAGGTAAGGGTCATTTATTCTCCACTTTATCCAGAATTGAAGAAATCAGATTTTCTAAATTGTTTTATTTGTATTTAAATCTAATCTGGTAGAAACAGGAGGGATAATGAAGTTATATCAGATAGACAAATGATCTGTCTTTGTCCCTACTTGATATTCTATAAAGAAATGTGAAGTATTTTTTCATTTCCAATATAACTGTAATCTAGTTATAAGAGCTAGAAATTATCTTGGCATCCTAAGAAACTCCCTATCACCTTTGAAATTAGTAACACGCTTTAACCCAGCTCCCTGGTGGGGTGTTTGATAGTCTACTTTGGACCAACCTGTCTTTACTAATTTGGGATGGGGTGTAGCTTTCATAAATTAGGGAAAAAAATCTAGGCTACTGTCCATGATTTATGAAAAATCTTTTTGTTCAAAAATACAACATTGTATTTCCTTTTTACTTACCCTGTAATTAGGTTTATATTTAGAAAGAGTACCCACTAGTTCAAGAATTCCCATAAGATATGGACAAGTCCATATTTGTTTCAGACATCCCTTCATATTATAAAATCCTGTTTCTACTTAAGTTAGTTTAGTGCCAAGATAGGACACATTACCAATACACTACCTTCTTCAAATGAGTTTCTCTATATTAGGTTCTCTGTCCTGACTTTTCTTCCCTTTACACTCCTCTTTGATAAGATCCCACCTGCTTCTAGCATTTTGGCTCCTGTTCTGGTCAGGTGTTTCACCTTGAGAGCAAGGAATAGTCAATAGCGATTTCTAACCAACATTAGCAAAATCACTATATATCCTATGAATGCTCCAAGTTATTTTTACTATTTAAAAGAATATCTATATTACACTGGTCTCTAATCTCTGGGGATCTAAAAAATGGTAAGTACCAAGTGGCAGTAACAGCTTGTGCATGCCAGAATGCTGAAGTAAGCTCAGGTTAAGGTGCTGGATGAACCAGGAAGGAGTTGACCCTTACTTCAAGGCCTGATGAAGGCTGTTCTCCAGCACTCCCTGCATGAGAGCCATTGGCCAATGACAAGGTGGTTAAAACAACCTTGAGTAAGTATCAGAAGTGATCCTCCGCTATAGACACTTATGCCTCATTAGAGTGATGTAATTCACATTAGTGTCTTTGAAAAACTGCAAACAATACAATCCAACCCTGAGCATAGGTTTTAACTCCACTCTGTACTTAATCCTCTTGTCTTTCCTTAACCTGTCATCTTAGAGGTAAGAACCACAAGGAAAGGGTTAAGATGCTTATATACATACATGACTCCAGTGGAAGAAAACACATTAAATCTTATACCTTATCAAATAATGAAAATTTTAGATGTTTGACCTTTTCTTTAATACTCACAAAGTATATAGAACCATTTAAGATGTTAATAAAAGCTACAATACTCAATTTCTAATTTTGGAGTATTTTACCTTCTAAAATTTCCTTAGTTTTTAGCAATACTTGAGTTGAAAGAACAGTGGACTCATTATACCTAGATACAAATTGAAAGATTGCTTTGGCACTTTTTTTCAGTTGTGGTTAATCTTTTGGGGCAAGAAATTGAGTCTAGAAAATGAATATAGTACAGTGCTAAAATGGGAAGAAAGCTGTAGTTGCTTTCTGCAGAGAAATAAACATGTGATGATGGTTGGCTTTGACTGATTTTTACATGGACAAAAAAATACTTATTTTAATTGCTATTAAGCTTCAGTATCTCTTTGAGGCAGCTTCCAATAAAATCGGGTAACTATTTAAAAATGTCTAACTGTGGTTAAAGAAATAGGTGAGCTTCTTAAACTGAGCCCAGTGTTATCTCACAGGTGAACCAGCAGATGGCTGGCATGAGTATGGGCAGTGCGAGCCCTGCGCTGGGTTTTGCCCAGCCCCCCAGCACGACAGCAGGATGGTCTGGAAGCTCATCGGGTCAGACTCTCAGCACACAACTGTGGAAGTGAGGACTGCACACGAGTTTCATCCAGAGCTACCACCTACATTCCTTGCTGCAATGCATCTAGTTCCCCTGTTTATTCATGTACATATATATTTTTTCTTTTTCCCCATTTGTTCACATTAAGAATTATCTGATTGACTGTGTTGGTTTGTACTGATTAAATTTGATGTGATGAAAAGCAGGTTGAGAAACTATTTCATGTCCAGGGCAGCTTTGCTCATAGTTCTCATAACTTCATAAATCACATTATTTGAGAAGCTGCAAAGTCAACTTGCATAATCAGTTTTACTCAATAAAATTATAGCTCTAATGTTTGCATATAAGGAAAATAGTTATCATGTTAGTAATACCTCTAACAGTATAAACCCCACCCCCAAATTAGCCAGTAATCTTGTAGGAAGGTACTGTATGATCAAATGGTTAATCATAAATAGAATGTAAATGTATCACTGAGCACTGTTTTCTAGTGTATCAAAATTTTTATTTCATCATTTCCTTCACTGTGCTATTGTTATGATGTGCTTAACAGGGAACGTGGTTAGTGAAAGGAAGATAAACCTGGATGTTACTATAAAACTTAGTTTAACAAATATTTAAAGAATTTGAATTTTATCTGCCTCTTGTAATTTGGATCTCCTCTTATGTACATAGTGCTAATATGACGACCTTTCTCTGCACTATATGCAAACAGGGTAACTAAACAAAGCCACTTTCAGTCCTTGAAGGTATATCCAGGTTTATGACAGTAATTGTGTTTACATTTTATGGTGCCTAGTATTGACAAAATGTTCTATCCCTATATTAAATAGATGAATCCATAGACTTTTTTTGTGGGTTTCATTTCCTACAGTATATACTGCCACCAACCTTACATAAATTAATGTTGTTAAGTCAGGAATTGGGGACAAAATACTTGTCATCTGTTTCTAAAACCTGTTCAGTTCTACCAGTTATAAGGCCAAATGGGGGGGAAAAAAGAAAAGTATATAAGATACTAAAAATGGTACCTGCAGTGTCATTAGTTATACTGTACAAAGATCTTCCAGTTTAGTTGTAGAGAAAACATGCAGAACAAATGAAGACAGAAACACATTTTATACCAGCTGATTAGCTTATGTTAACTGACAAGCTCTGTTTAAACAGATGTCCATCAGATGTCAATAAAGGCTGTTGTACTGAAGTAAAATGAACAATACCTGAATGCTCTGTAGCCTAACCTCCAAACGTCCTCTTCCACACCCACTGCTGCTCCCAGTTACACCTCGATCTTCACTGTGTCCAGGTGGTACTTGGGCTCGTTGGCTAGATTGACCTTCTCAGTGCGAGTGTGCCACACAAGGACCTAGGGAGGGAGGGAAATCTCTGGGGTAGCCAGCCTCAGTGCCAGCATGCAGCCACATCAAGCAGCACATGAGACATGAATACCTTGGTGCAGTTATTTGCTTTCGGTTCCAGTTCTTCAACAGTTGTTATCTGTTTTAGAAAGTCAGATTCTTGCATCCCTGGCTGGGATCCACGGCGCTTAAATACAGCTTTTGGATTGGACAAGATGACTTGAAGGCTTACAGCAAATCCTTTGTGAGAAGTTTTTAAAAAACACAAAAAGAGAGACTTTAAAATATTGGTATACTTTTCTTTTTCTATATAAAACTTTGGTCACATGAAGAGCAATTTTATATGCTACTATGTGCCAGGTCCTACTTCACAAAGTTGAAAAGGAGCATTACCTGTATTACAGTCTCAAGAAGAAAAGCAGTCATTACAATATAACGGGCTCGGTGCCTTCACAGAGGTGTACACCGGTGGGGTGGGGATCTGTAAAAAGTCTAGTCTTGATAATAAAGGGTAGATTCTACAAGCTGCTATTTCACAGAAGTCATCACACCCAACATTTGACACTCTGGGGACAACTAAGACCTAAATGTAGCGGAAAAGCACTCACATTCAGCCTAATTGAGCTTGAGGTAATTATGTGAGAGCCCGCCCAGTTCTGCCTCCTTTAACATCTCTGTGTGCACTTATCAAAACCAGTGCTGGTTTTCTTTGAGTTTAGAAGACAGGGATAAAGGGAAAGTTAGTTTGCTAGAACATGAATAATAATTGGTTGGTTGATTTCTGATTTGGTTCAATCTGAAAAATGTGGGTGGGTTGGAAATCAGTGTAGGATATATTAAGCCATTTAATAAATTTGGTTTTTTATATTTCACTTAAAAAATACGTAGTTTTATTTATTTCAGAGGAAGGAGAGGGAAAGAGAAACATCAATAAGAGAATAATTGATCAGCTGCCTCCTGCATGCCCACACTGGGGATTGAGCCCGCAACCCGGGCATGTGCCCTGACCTGGGATGAAACTGACCTGGTTCATAGGTTGACACTTAACCACTGAGCCATGCAGGCTGGGTGATATTTTTCTTTTCTTTTTTTTAAGGAAATTATTGTCAATTTCCTTCAATGGTTTGGTCATAGGAAAGATAATTACTATTTAATCTGTAGTTTAACAGAGTGTCCCTTGCTTTCCCATTAAACACTCTATAAGCTATCTGAGCAAACAAATGTTAAGACCTTTGTAACTGAAAGCCTGAAGCCCAGCCCGCTGCTGTTAATGTCTAAGCTGACACTAAAGTTAGGCTATGAGGACCTCCCCGTGTTAAAGCTATGAGGACCAATCCCTAGGAACATTGCTTAGCAACTTTTGCCCTTCTCTACATTAATGGAATTGATTTATGCTTATTTTTGCAAAAGTATAGTTTGCAAAGTAAGGACCACATGATACGAGCCAGTAATGGGGGAACTGAGGAAAACCACAACCAGCATTCTCATAACCTCTCCAGATGCAAGGTGGGCCAGTCCCATGTTCTAGACGCTGCTGTCTTTATGGGAAAACTTCCCACTGAGCTACATACAAACACCTTGGTACAGCGTGTGCCAAGTGAGACAGGACAAAGGATCATAAAGCATGAGCCTGAGGACTGGTCCGAGCACATTTCACCAACCCTGGGAGAGGCAGCACGTTCTAGCAGAAAGACCACAGAATCTGAAATTTGGAGCCTTTTGGTTTTGCCTGGGTCCCTGCACCTGGGACACTGGTCAAGTCCCTTCACCTTTCTTGATTCTGAAACTTGCCTGTTTCTCATCTGCAAGCGAGGTGCGGTACCTTCTCAACTCGGTGTCTGACGCAAAATTTGTGAATGGAAAAACACTAACTGCAAAGCTCCCTCCAAAAGACACTACACTATATAAATAATACCACTGTCAATGTCGTGAGGGGCAGGTGGGATTAGCCACCTGCCTCTGCAGACAGGGAAAGGGCTTGTGAAAGTCTAGGTAGCCAGCCAGGCCACCTGCGTTTCCCGCCACTTTGCTAACAAGTCTGAAGCCTCCTCAGACAGAATAGCCATAGGCCTCAACCAAAAGCCAAGGTTCAAATTCATACACAGAGTGTGACTTTTCTAGTAGGTCAGCTCCGATTTTAGTATTAAAAGGTTCCTGGCTTTTTTTGTGAGCTAGTAAATACGCTTCAGCTTTGTTTCCTTCTCCCTCCCACTGAAGCGGCTGGTCTGTTTCTCACGTGGTTTTCATGGTGTTGGTTGTATTTCCTCATTCTCATAAAAATACAGGGTCCAAACTTGATTTCCTTCATTCCCCACTGAGACCTCAGCACACTCATGGCATCGTGACCACTCGGGGATTCAGATTCGGATTATTTTCTTGCTCTCCTTGGCGCAGGGATATCCTTTAGCTTTTAAAGCAGAGTCCCATGGCAAGTCTGCAGCTTGAAGCAGAGCAGCCAGCCAGCAGTGGGGCTGATCACTGTTGCTCCAAGGCCCTTTCCTAGATTCCCTGGACAAGGGGATGGGCCTGCAAGGCTGGCACCCTGCACAGGTCTGAGTGGGCAGCTGACCATAGGAGCCAAGTGGTTGTCTATTTTCTATCACGCTGAGGGGTGGGGCAGTTCAGATGCTTTTCACTCCCACCCCCACTTTCTCTGCCAGGCTCCAGCTCAGAGAGCCCTTCAAAGGAGGCAGGTCACAGGGAGCACAGCACACAGGGACAATGTTAACTAGGCCAAGCCCTGGTTGCCTTTTGGGGAATCATGTGACCTGCTGTGAAGCCTGGGAGAGAGCTCTCCCTCTGGAAGCAGGACTTTTAGCTCCTAAACCATTGCTTTCAACCCAAGACGGATATCTTGATTTGTCTTCATTTCAAACTATATATGCCTCAAATATTACATTTCCCCTTCACTATTTTTAATGAAATTAATTTAGCTTTAAAGATGTTTGCAGCGGCTATTGAGATACTATGAGCCTTACAAAAATCATGGGCGTAGGATCCTCTGTCCTGGTCCGTTGTATAAAAAATAAAGTACAAATGAAACCTGGTTATGCTGTGAAGGCTGCATTTCCTGACTTGCAGTGGCATGGGGGATATATCTCCTCTCAGTCAGAGGGACAGGGCCTGTTTTAGTAGGTGCTTATTGATTAATAAATGGAAACATTTGGAAGACATTCAAAGTCCAACAAGTAATTTCCACTTGGGGACAAGATGGAGCAACAAGGGCTGGGTTTTCCCTACTGTCTTACCTAAATCTAGAGAAAATGTTTGAAAAAATGATTTCTAGACATTGGAAAAGGGGCGTGCAGGACAAAGGTCTCTGAAAAAGAAAAAAAGAAAAGAAAAACACAAGTCCTACATTTGCCTCAGCTTCTTGTCTGAAGGGAGTAGCCCACAGGCTCCACCATGGGGAGGGAGCTCACAGCTCTGCAGGCCCTAAAGCTGAGGAGACAGCAGAGAATCCCAGGAGGCCGAGCCGGGAGAATCCACAGTACAGAGCACGAGAGAGAGCCGATGGCCTGCAGAGGGCTCCACTCACGTCCAACTGGAGATCAGAAAATGCTCTTGTAACTCCCTGCGGCCCAGGAAAGAGCCTGGAGAGAAGCAGGTGGGCTGGTTCTTGCAGCTCACTCAGGGCTGGGTTAGGTCACATTCCCAACAGCCAGAGTGGAATGGTAGTTGGGGCACCTGGAAGAGGAGCTGGAAGATTGTTGTGTTCACTGTGGGGTCACATTAGCCCTAACCTAAAGGTTGCGCTGGTCCTGCCTATCAAACCTTTAAGAGCAAGCCCAGAAAGGATCACAATGCTTCTGAATAACTTAGTTGTATCCCAGAAAAATGTAAAATACACATAAAGGGGAGGCGGTTAAGATGCGCTTCACTCCTAATCTGGATGTGTGTGTAAATGTACGGTATACATAATACATAACACAAATAAACATGTATCTTTATAGTACCTAGCAACAAAACATTCAAAATGCCTGATACAAAAATTCCCATGTGTACAAAGAGGCAAGAAACTGTAATCCTGTAATTAAAAGAAAAATCAGTCAACAGAAACAAACACAGAAATGACACTGGTGGCAGAATTATAGAACAAGGGCATTAAAACATAATAAATATTCTTCATATATTCAGAAAGGTAGGGGAAAGATTGAACATGCCAAGTAGAGATATGGAAGACAAAAGTCCTAAAGTGCTGGCCACAGTGGCTCAGTGATTGAGCATTGACCTATGAACCAGGAGGTCACTGTTTGATTCCCAGTCAGGGCACATGCCCAGTTTGTGGGTTCAACCCCCAGTAGGGGGTATGCAGGAGGCAGCCAATCAATGATTCTCTCTCATCATTGATGTTTCTATCTCTCTCTTTCCTTTCCTCTCTGAAATCAATAAAAATATATTTAAAAATATAAAATAAAAAGACCCAAAGCGATCTCATTGTGATGAAAAATACAATGTCTTGAGATGAAAAACCTACTGGCTAGGATTAACACATGATAACACATTAGAAGACAATGACAGAAACTACTAAAAGGAAACACAAACACACGTATGTGAGTACAGAAACAGTAAAGGAATGAAAGGTGGGAGAAGGGGCTAGAAACGTATATTTGAAGAAATAACTGAAAATTTTACAATTTAAAAAAAATCCATAAGGATTTACTATAAGACAGACAACACTAACAACCAACTTGACATTTACAGAGCAAGCCGCCCAAGGGCAGCAGAATACACAATCTTTTCAAGTATACATGGTACTTGAGATAAGCTTATGGCAGGGCCATGAATCAAGTCTCAATAAATTAAAAAGAATACAAATTGTACAAACTATTTCTCTGACCACATGGAATTAAAATAGAAATCAATAATAGAAAGACATCTGGAAAATCTAATATTTGGAAACTAAACAACATAATTCTAAAGATATGGCTCAAAGGAAGAATCAAAAGGGAATGAAAACAGAAAAAGGCACCAAAACCTATGGGCGGCATCTACAGCAGTACTTACATGGAAAATGAGTATTTTTTAAAAGTACTAAACACTTTTATTAGATAAAAAGAAAGGTCTTAACTCAATGTCTTAAGTTCCTACCTTTATACACTAGGAAGAGTAAATGAAACCCAAAGTGAATAGTAAAAAAAGGTATGATTAATTAAAGAGCCAAAATCACTGAAGTAGAAATGTAAAACAATAGAGATCAGTGAAATCTAAACCATGCCCTTAGGGGGAAAAGGTCAATA